GGCCAGGGCAGGCCAGGCTAGGGCAGGGCAGGGCGCGGCAGGGCGGGGCAGGAGGGCCACCTCTTGCATAACGGAGACGGTCAGAGTTTGGCACACGACGGCACACGGCATTCTACACGCGCGAGGACACGGCCGACACGCTTCCGTTATCGGAACACCCGCCTGGCCCCGCCCTCCCGCGACCCTCTATCGCCCGCCCTGCCTGCCCTCCGCTCTATGTGGTATCTATCGGCTCTGCTCAGCGCCGCGCCCGCGGCGCAAGGCGCGCACATCGAGTCATTCCCCACGGCGTCTCTCCCGCTCGAATCCCCGCGTTCAGCAAAAATGCGGGAGAGCTCCAGAACGACATCTCCAGTATGGCTAATAAAAGCATTGTTCCGGTGCTGTTGAAGATAAGAAGATTGCAGGTTAAGGGGAAAAAACGGAGTTCGGAAGGAACATTGGAAGAAATTTATCAACATTTTGGTAAGAATTTGGATTTAAAAGACACGAAATAATTTCCATGAGCTGTTTACAACAACTCAGTAGCCTGATCAGGCCTATATTCTGCTATGTTCTTGCCCGCATTTATTATTCGGAGTCGTACTCAAACTAAAGTGAAGATAGCACGGCCCCAAGATGGCTCCAAAGTACCTCAGTTACCAAAGTTACTTTTTATTTGTCTGTACGCGGCTCTCCTCGATTTAAGTGCCGCGCGCGCCGCCGCGCACTGCTCCGCGCGGACGACGGATCTTCTCTCTCGTTTTGTTGTGACAAAACGCGCGAGAAAAAACACGATAAACTAGAGAAAACAAACAGACGCACTTGCGAGTTATGGCGAGTGACTGACCCGCAGCCGCCCGCGTCCACGCTCTGTCTGCAGCCACGTGATTATTTGTCGCGTGTTTGGACGGATGAGCGGTGACTACGAGTGAGAAAGAGAAAGAGAGAGAGAGAGAGATAGGAGACAGACACGCGGGGCAGCAGCACGAGACCCGCCCCGCCCCGCCCCGCGGCGCCGAGGGGGATGCGATGTGGGAGAGGAGAGACCCAATGATAGCGAACCGAACGAACGGGGCTCTGCTGGGTGAGCGCCTCGTGGGGCGATAGCAATAAGTAAAGAGGGTGAGCGAGGGGCGGGACGGGGCGGGGCAGCAGAGATGTCAAGGCCAGTGAGCGAGAAGAGAAACAAAGAGAGAGACGGAGAGAGAGAGAGAGAGAAGGAGAGAGGGAATGCCCCTCAAAGGGATTTACTCCACTTGCCCATACCCCCCGCCACGCGCGGCCGCTCTATTTCCAATACTCTCTCCCAGCCCCCAGCACCACCCGCCCACCCGGCCCCCTTCAACTCATTCAGTGCGACAAGCAGGCAGGGTGCGGTCGCAGTCCCCCCAAAAACGGCTCGGGTACGGCTCGCTGCAAAAATCTCTCGTTTTGCCCGCATAGCATTTGGGTTGCCGTTGCCGTATTGGTCCTCCTCGGGGACGGCGCTTGATGCTCACGAGCAGAGCGAAGCGGTCCGCGCGGCTGAAAGCGGTTGGGGGGAGGGGGGAGGGTCTGGAATGATGACGGACCAGACGTGGATGCTGCCCGTGGCTCTTTGAAGTCAACCATCCCAACTCCCCAATCCCTGTCCCCTCCTCCTTCGCCGCCCGTCTGGCTAAGCAAGCTAGCTAGCAACGACTCTACACACAGACGTCCGTGTGAACAACATTTAATTAATTTAGTCATTTGTATCGCTTTTGGCAGATGATTCCTTACAAGACCTAACACTAAACATAAATATACATAAGTATTGTTAATTTGCCTTGTTTCTATTTATTTCTTGGTTTGCCTTGAATTAATGAGAATGCACAGACTAAAATTAGGGTTGTAAAACAAAAATTTGGTTCCTACAGTATACAATGCACTGGTTATACAATTAAGCAGTTATGACGCGCTACACTCGGTTCTGTGAGGGATAGCTGAGGTGTTATGGTATGCTCTGTCACCTGTTTGTTTATATAATTTTTTTTCCTAGTTGTTTCCACAAGAGCGTGTGTTGATGTACACACGCACGCACGCACCCTCCCGCGTTCCGAGGTCAGGTCGCTTCTGGCCGGGCCCCGGGCCCCTTGAGCAGAGAGAGAGAGAGGTGTGTGTGTGTGGGGCGCAAAACGGGTCGGGAAGCCCCCAGCCCGCCCAGCCCGCGCGGGATCCAGATCCACTCACCGCTCCGCCACTCGCCTCACCTCGGCCAACCGCCGCGCCGGTCAGGTCAGCAGCACCCGGGCGGGGTCCAGGACCTTCACCCTGGCCAGGCCGACCTGCGCGGGTCCTCCGGGAACATCAAACGAACGGTATGAAGAGGAAAATAAAAATAATGAAGAGCGACGCGATGCTCTCGGGGCGGGGCGGGGCGTGTACGCGAAAGCACTTTCCGTCTCGCTCCCCGACACCCTTCAGTCAAACGCAACCCTCTCTCTCTCTCGCAACTCTCTTTCCCTCTCTCCATACTAAATTGCGCACTCTCCGCGCTCACAGCAGGCACAGCACGACGACGCGCGGGGTTCCACCAAAAGAGGTCGGCATCGAAAACAGGGAGGGGAGGTGGGAGGTGGGGGGAAATAAAGTAAAAGGGAGAAACTGAAAACGTGGCCGTAAAGGGGGGAGGAGGGGGTGAACGCTCATGAGGCAGCGGCGCTGCGGTTCGCACTTTTCATCCCTCAAAGGGAGACCGGCGCGGGAGAGTCGGGTCGGGTCGGACCGAGAGCGAAACGAGCCTTGGGAAGAGCTCGACAAAACGGAAGCAAGACAGGGGAGGCTGAGGCTGTTGGGAGAGAGAGAGGAGAAAGGACGTTCCTCGCTTAGCGGGGGGCGGCCGCGGGGGTGTCCGGGGGGTGGTGGGGCCCAGGGGAGCCAAAGTGGTGGCCTTGGGGGAAGGGAAGGCAAGAAGGCGGTTGAGGCAGGCAGTGTCGAGGGCGCTAAGGCGCTGCTGGGGGTGGGTGGTGAGCAACGAAGGGAGGCGACCACCACCTCCGCCGCCTCGTCGAAGGGCGTGAGCAACAAGCAAGTTTCGGACCAGTCAGTTCCACGGGCTGGTGGAGTCCTTGTTCGGCGTGTCCTGCTCACCCCCCGTCACCCTGGGAAAAATAGTAAGTGGCAAGGTGGCATTAAGGTGGCAACTAGGTGGCGAGGTGGGCGAAGTGGCATGTAAGGGGCAAGGAAGTGGCAACGAGGTGGAATGCGGCCAAGTGGCATAGAGGTGGCAAGCAGGTGGACCTGGGTGGCATCAAAGTGGCATCGAGGAGCCAGCCCCAGGTGGATGTTAAGGGGCATCTAGGTGGTATTGTAAGTGGCAAATAGGAGGTTAGGTGGAAAGTAACTTGGAATAAGTGGCGAGGCGTCCTACGCGGTCAATCAGAATGCAGAAATAAAAAAGACTTATACATAACAGCAAGAGAAAAAATATGAGACGAGAAAAATATAATTTCCTTTTATTAATAATGTAACACCCCAATTTTTTAAAGATAATGTTAAAAGTCTGTACTGAAAGAACTTTTCATTCAATTTTATAAAACTTATTAAGATATGAATCATTAAACCATGTTTATTGCTTGCTTTTATTCCCTGAGTCCACAAACCAGATTTGACTTGTGACTGTTATGGACTTAAAAAAGAATTTTTTTCTCTTTCCTATGTTTTTTTGTCTTCGTATTGTTATTATCCTCATTTTATAACGTTACTACATTTAGTTGGAGTGGCATCTCTCTTAGTGTTAGCCGTTCTGGGATCCATTAGCCTGCCAAAGCCGCTAACTTTTATCGAACTTGGTTGTGTTAAAAATGTGACACTTTTGTATTGTTAATGGATATAGCAATGGTTTTGCATGAATTCTTCTTGCAAAAGATTTTATCGACTTTGCCTTTATCTAGACCCAAACCTCATTTCATGATACTTGCGTGTAAATAATAAGGTAGTATCTATTAAAAATCATATGTATCATATGGTAAAGTACTTTGTTTCAGATAAGTTTGATTAAGATTAGCAACTGTTATTGTAAGTGAGAGGGCAGGTAGAATAAGCTGCAAGCTTTTAAATCACTCAGTCAAAAGAAGACCGGATGTAAAACAAATAGTTGACAGAGTGAGCTTTAACTTAATTTCTATTTTGAAAATATTTTCTGAAAGTTCAATGAGTCAACATTATGTTTTTTTTATCCAAGATACATATTGATTGTCCATAGTAACAGGATTTTTACTAAGTGCTATCAAAACACACACTAAAGTATCATGAACTGACTATAAGAATCCCTTTAAAAACTTTTCTGTATCTATTAACAACGCAAAAGCTTCATATTTTTAACACCACCAAGTTTAATAAAAGTTAGCAGCTTTGGTAAGCTAATCGATCCCAGAAATGGCTATCACTAAAAAAAATTCCAATATATGAGAAACCCAACGGGGCCGACTGGCAAAGAGGTGGCAAGCAGGTGGACCCAGGTGGCAGTTAAGTGGCATCAAGGAGACAGTTTGAGGTGGCATCTAAGTGGTATTGTAAGTGGCAAGTAGGTTAGGTGGAAAGAAAGGGGATATTAAGAGAAAACTAAGGTTTGCAAGCCTAGTTGAACAAAACATGTATACTAGAGACTAGTCTCACTCAGTAACTATCTCTGCAACAGTTAATTTTTCCTTCAACTGGGAAGATGAAATGCAAAATTTATTTGATTTGAGTGTGCTTATTTCCTACTGCTGCAGTCTTGATGATAGGTCATAAGGTCTTCTCCTCCATGGGTTTTCATTTAAACATAAGTCACTCACTATACATAGATTTTTATTGTGCTATCACATAACAGTACGGATACATTTTTTTCATGTACACTTCATTTCATCTTACAGGGATCATAGTTCACAATAAAGACTGAGTGTTCACTCTTTGCTGTAACTGTAAGAAATCTCACCCAGTCTGTTTACGGTACACATGTTAAACCTGAGGAAAACAGAAAGCTGGCATAGTTAAATTTCAAATCATACATTTTTTTTAAAAGTTCCAAAAGACATGCAAGGTTTGTGCTTATTCAATTTTAATTAAACTATAATGCTCATCTTCGAACTTGATCTGTCTTTTCATGATACAAAACGACCCTGAAATTCCCAGGTCGCTAACTCAATGCCTTCTTGAGTTATCGTGCATAAAGACATACAGACAGACAGACAAACAAACAAACAAACAGAATGAAACTTTTTTGGTCAGTGGAGTAAGGGGCCTTGCTAATCGCTCAGCCAATTACAACATTAGCATACACAAATATCAAATGACTGCCAACTCGTTGCATGATGAATACTTCCTGGCTTGGCCTGAGAAAACCTGTTTGTTAAAGCCACAAATGTTAATCGCCTCTGCAACCATATGGCACATTTGTAACATACATTCCTCTGTCAGTCGTCATAAACATGCACTGACCTCCAACATCACTAGGTCTAAGAGCTAATAATCTGCCTTCACATCTTATTTTTGTAATGTGTTTCAAATGACACCCACTTAGACTCCAAATAGGTCGAGTGTCTTGAAGCATTTCTCGTGCAAATATGATGACAGTAGAGTCCCTTTCATCTAGAACTACGTTGGTGATTTTACACTTATTGTTACCACCTCTTAAAACGTAAACACCACTATCATCTCTTTTGAAAGCAGCTTTGTAGTCTACTGTAGTGAAGCGTAGCCCATCATGAATAAACTTCTGAAATCTGGCCACATTTCCCATGAAGACCTTTCTCTGGCCGTCCCAAACAGCAGCAACCTCCTCATCAGACAATTGGTAATCTTTACCCTGGCCGACCAACGCCACCCCATCAGATCTTGTAGCCCACCTCAAAGGTCGGAAAAACATTTGATTGCAAAAGTTTAGAGTTTCATCGGACACATTAAACTTATCACATAAGCGTGGAAGGTTGTTGTAGATTGAGTATCTACGTGCCACACCTTTGGCTAATTCAAGTGGACTTTTAGACATTTGGAGAAGGTACCTATTTTTCCCCTCAAAAGGGTAACATGTATGGGTCCAAACAGGACCAAGATTAAAAACAGATTTCACAACATGCAGAAGTAAATGAACATTGTAAGTCATATTGAGTGCCCCATAGTACTTCTCATATAAAGTCACATACATGACAAGTAATTTACTAGCATATTCCAATTGCCTGGGAGTAATTCGCTTTTGCATTAGAAGATAAAATGCACTGGAAAGAAGACAAAAATGAGTTAGGTTTTTAGTTTCGACAATGCCATGCATTACAACTGGTCCATAAATAACCAGCAAAGCTCTAAGTTCATTTGCTTTGAAATGTTCTTTCTCCTTCAGGCTTCTTGGAGTCCTTGTCAGCACAGATGGTGGATGTAATCCCAAAATTCTTTCTGATATTCTATCAATTTCATCATCATCTAAAGTGGCAAGTATAAGATCAAGGTTTTGATTAACAACACCTTTCAAAAAATGCATAGAGTCTGGCGGCATACCTGAACCTAAGTCAAAATAATCAAGATTCATAAGAACAGATGGCCCTCTACATCCTTTGTAATGTCTTTTTCTGGAGTTTGGATGATTTCTCCTACTATACCCTTTTAACATTTGATCCCTATAAATAGCATCAGTTCGGTCAGTAGGAATGCTTTCTAGCCCCAGCATGGTGTACCTGACACTTCCACGTATATATTCCCCTTCCATGTCACAGAAGGTACAGCCAGAATAACCTGAAAACTGTTTGTGGTTTAACATAGGGTACCGAGCCTGGGTGTCAACCACACTAAACAGTGGAATAACCTTGCTATTTACTATCATACCATCTCTCTGCCAGTCTAGCCCCTCTCTGGACAGCTGATTTGATTCTTTTACAAATGGCTGCAGCATCACTAACATGTTAGGTTTTGCTTTGCCCACAAAAAGCCCCACTAGTAACATATGACGTGACCTCAATTTTGGTGGCAACTCATTTATCATTAGGTATATTGGCCAAAGTTGCTGGGTGGAGGAATTTCCTACTTTCACCCCATCAGTGTTAAATGAAAATGATAGATTATTTCTACAACTCAATACCGCCCCATCGCTGCTCAGATTTTTGTACAAAGCACCATCATAAATATCTTCAATGGTGTCAGGACCAGCTTTTACCCTAGTGAAACGATAATTCAAAGCTTCCGATATACCAGGTTTTTCAAGTAAATCTTTGATTTGTTGTTTCATACCCAGAGACATGACAAATTGTTTACAGCGCAACGGTGACTGCAGAACATGTCCACAGTCACATTGCATAGCAGATTCAGTAGCTGCCTCTCCAATGTAGTTAGCACACTCGGGGCAAATAGGATGCATTTGTTCATGAACTCGACTAGGCTCTGCATGTTTCAAAAGATAATAGTAAGATGATGGCACAACCTCCCTCTTATACAGGACATTAATCATTTGCAGAATGTCAGTCATAGCGGCATATGAAAGACTATGTCTCAGGCCAAGTGATAACACTGCGAGCAAAGTTTCTCCCTGAGTTGTTTCAGTGCAATCACACAGCGTGTCCCTCATCTCACCATACCGCTGTTCAAGTTGAACTGGACGATTCCCCACCTCACTTTGAGCATCTTCAAAAACTGTGTCATCAAGAGCCATTCCTTCGTCTTCATCGTTGAAACTGAAGGTCACAGCAGAGTGTTCATTATCCATGTCGACTGATAGATGGCTGTCATCAATAGCTGTTTCCATTTCATCTCCTGACTGATCAGTGAGTGGTTCAGTTGTGTCCTCTGAATCACAAGTACTGCTAGGGGCCTGTCGCAGACAAACAAGACATTACTGATAGAAAGACAAAGACAAATGCACTTCAAGATGTAGTGTACTCACTATGCTGGAATCACTTAAATTATCTTCTTCAGAACCTGTAGAGGAATCTACTGCGAATGAATAATTACTGTCAAACGATGAACCTTCATGAGCGACTAGTGGTGATGAGCAAACACTGTCACTGACACAGCTGGTGCTGTTCACATTTTCCGGTGCGTTCTCACAAACCTATGGCAGAGAATTGATTAGAGAAAACATTGGGCAAGAGGCAATGTTACATAAACAATATAAACTGACCTCTGAATTCGTTGTGGTTGACGTCTGGAATGCAGTCTCTTTGTCCTCGTCAGCATCCACTGTTCCAGAACATTGCGAATTTGGAGTAGGCATAAGGCCGAATTCCTGAAAAAAATAGCACAATTATTCAACAGACGCCACTAACCTATACAACAGTGTGGACAAATACTGAAGAGTCAGCCACTAGTTAGGCGAACACCAAAATACTTACTAGCATTATTGCATCTTCCCTGGCTCGCTTATGTCGTCGAAGCGTACGTTTAGGAATAGGTATCGCTGGGTCAACTTTGTAACGCTTGTAAGCCGGCTCCATTGCGCAGTTGAAGTAAATACGGTCAAGATTTGCGTACTGCTGTCACTTCGGGGCATAAGAGCCATACTAAACAGGTAAGATTTTCCAGAGCAGACGGACGGCCCCAGCTCAAGCGACAATTTCCTCCAAGAAAAGAAAACCAACTTAACCCTTCTGTTGCGATATTTGTTGGATTTTCCATTGCCCAACACTCACAGTAAAGCCCTAGGCTTCCCTCCCCCTCCCTCTTCGGCGGTATGAAAACACGCACCATCCAACTGTAAAGGGGCACCTGATTTTTCATACCTCTGTATTCGAATCTGAATAGGTATGGGAGGTATCTTTTCTCGACATCAAACATCCGCTTTCTCTCTCTCACTCTCTCGCTTCTTGTTCCTCGAGCAAGGTGGTTGTATTATTTGCGCAGGCCAAACTATACTGAAAAGTTCTCTCTTTTATTTTGTCTTAAGGTTAACTGCAAGGTGGTTTACTGGTAAGGTGACGCTCGGTCCGTTTGTTGGTTCATTTTGAAACGCTTCACTATTCTACATTATTTATTTTTTCTGCTTGTGAGAAAATAAACACGTGAGAATGGTGCGGCAAAACGTTCAACAAAATGAAGCACCACTCAAGTACGCGTACCTTGTTCCTGCGGGCGCCGGCCGGAATGAAGCGTTTGTTGCTAGAATTGATCTTATTAAAAATTTTCATCCTAAAGATGAAAACGATTTTAAGTACACTGACAAACATAAGTACAAGGCGTCACCAAAAACGCCATCGAAATACGTGCATGTGCTTCTGCTGGCAAGTAAGTATTCTTTCCTAACCTAAAATTGAATAAGTCGTAACCAGGACTTGTCTAAATTTTATTATCATCGTTTCAGCATCCAGCAGTGCAATGACTGCAAAAAAACAGAACGCGTCGACGTCGATACGATGGCCTCGCAGTCAGTTTAGCAGCCAGATGTGCAAGCCCTCTTCATCAGAGGATAATGCCGTTCCATCACAGAAGGTACATAGTGTAGTTCAGTTGAAGCTTCTTATTTTGCCACTTTGTTTGCCTATGTTCAGCAGTAACGTGTTGTAGAGGAGTGGTCACTTATCTATGTAACCCTGTGTAGCCTACATCAACACATTCTTTTGCTGTTTCAGGCTAAGGAGAAACAAAAACATAGCAACAATGTCAAATCCATGGATACAGTTATGAAAGCGTACCAAAAGGAAGCTCTTAAAGTTTTACAGCAGCAGCCTCCACCCGCTCAGCACAACCTCAAAGAGAAGTCCTCTCCAATAGTCAATACCGGAGATAAAGGGGCAGCCAGCTCGAAGACAGCAGTTGCTTCACCCAGGACATTTCTATCATCATCTGACTTTGCGCTTATAAGACAACAACTTTATAATGGTATCCATGAAGATTTGTGTTCACAGATTGCTGACCAGTTGCGTGATGATATTGCCTCGGAAGTACAGCAGCGCTTTGCAGTTGAGAAGGCAGAGTTGGTTAATTTGAAGTCCGAGGTTTCACAACTCATCCAGGAGCAGCAAAGTTTCTTGGAATCGATAAGACAGGAAGTCTCTGCACAGGAGCAAGGCACCAAGAACACATTCGATGGCCTCTTTCATAAAATGGAAAAGAAAATCAGAAATCTAGGTAAGTAATTTCAATTAAAGGTAATAATTTCTTTGTTTTTAGTGCATTAGCTGATGCTCTATCAAATTTGCGTATTATTTAACAGAATCTCGAGTTGGGAACAAGGAAACAGATGTAGTCCAGCATCAGGCAACCCAAGGACCAGCACACGTCGCACGGGTTACACTGAAGGCTTCACCTGGTGAACAGGTTTGTGAATGTGTATTGATTTATAACACCAGCATATTTGTATGTCAACACATACATTCATTGTCTTTGCATTCTTACAGATTGATATTGGTGAAGGTGTGTTAATTTGTGCCGAGTATTGGGCCACTGCCAAGAAAGCAGTATCTAAAGAGGCTTGGGTTTCAAATATTTTCTATGGCCTCTTCAAAGATGAGGCAAAGTTCTACCGCTGTCGTCAGCCTAGGACACAAGATACTCGACTCAAAGTTATCCCATCTATACCTCCCTATTTGGTTGTTGTTAGAGGTAAGGATTTCTTGTCATTAAAGTGTTAGACTCCTTTATTTTTTATTTTTTGAAATTATTTTAGCAAAAAGTGGTGAACATCATGTGTTATCTCTTTCAGAACATTTTCGGGAATGGCTGAGGAATAACCCTAAAGTACTTGATGAGTGGGCAAAACCAAAGCAACGCAAAGATGAAGTACTTGACCCACTTGATCTTATTATTGCCCATAGGCAATGGGACAAGCAAGTAAGGGAAGAGAGTGAACCTGACAAGAAGACGAGAAGGGCTGCACGTCTTGTGCAGATAGTCAAGAGCCTTGAGAGTCTAATAGGCGACAGAGCACAAGAACTATATAGGGTGGGGCAACCAAGGGGAGCTAAAAGGTAAATAGTACTGTAATCAATTTTGAAATAGCTATCATGTTTTCACTCGAGTGTCGAAACAATGCGTTGTCACGGGTAGTGGATTAAAAAGCATGTTACTTGTGTTGCAGGGCAAAGGTGCCGTCGCCTATACATTCAAAGGAAAGGAGAAAGAGAAAGAAAAGGAGGTGCGAATACACCTCATATAAAAGTGGGAGAAAAATTGTGAATTCCAGTGATCCTGATGACCAATTTGAACCTGTGGATAACAGCACCGAAAAAACGGTTAATGTTGAGGGTACTGATTTTATTCCTTATCAGTTAGCCGACAAAACCAGCACTCCACAGAAGAAAAATGTGGAGGATTTTGGAAATTCGAATGTTTCCTCAGCAGGTTCTATGTAAGTAATAGAGTGTTAGAGTAAATCCAGTACTTTTACGGTCAAAGTGTGTCTATACAAAATTACTTACTGACCCTCTGTTTCTATTTCAGTCCTGATGATGATAATGAAGGCGACCTCTTTGACAGTGACAATCATTCAACATCCAAGCAGTCAAGTGACAGTCAGTCTTGCAGATCCACATCATGTGACAGTCGGTTGTCTTCATCACCCAAATCAAAAAGCAGGGAAAATAGTCGTGACTCAGATGACACGTATTATGCTCCAGAAATTACTGAAAATGCTCAGCATTAATTAATCTAGTCATCAATAAATCTTAACAAATGTTTAGTTTGTTTGATTTGTTTTGTTTTATTTTATTTGTTATTACTTTATGTTATTACCGTTTTGATGTAAAAACACGTATTTATTTTTTACTCTGACTTAAATTCCAAATGATAAATTATTTAGTCGGTTAGTATTTGTAAATTTTAATCTTGTTGTTAATGTTTATGCTTATATTTCATATCATATTTTTCTGTGAGCGGCCCTACTGGCCCAATTTCTTTTAGCTGTCAATAACTTTTGGTCATAGTACTTGTCATTTCTCACCAACAAAAACGTTTAAAACCAAGGTCAGAGTCAGTGAGAAATTTGCTATTTTCTAAAGAGAGGCCATATTTTATATCTGAAAGCATTTATGTGATATTTTTCTGTTTTATTATGAAGGGTTAGTTAATATGTGAAGTGACTTCTTCCAATATGTAGAATGATGGATTTGATGAGCATTTCATTGTCATGTGCAATTTTGTTACCAATAAATGTATACATGCAAACGTATTTTCGTCTAGCGCTATTTTACCTAGAAATTCCATTATTCACTTTTGAGCAACTTAAATGCCACCTTATTGCCACCTAAACCGCGGCGCGCGCGCGCGTTTACCACCTACTTGCCAGCTTGATGCCACCTAAACGTGCCACCTCGTGCGCTTAAGCGGCCAATTTCACTTAAATGCCACCTTGATGCCACCTCCTTCCCACTTGGCCCACCCCGATGCCAGCTTGCTGCCACCTTACCACCTAGTTGCCACCTCGTTGCCACTTGGGGCTGCCACTTCGCCACTTAAAAACCACCTCTTTGCCACCTTACTGCCACCTTGCCACTTACTATTTTTCCCAGGGCAGCCCATCAGCGCGCTGCGGGTACGGTACGGGGTGCGGGACCCCTGGCCCCCGACCCGACCCGACCCGGCCTAGAGAATCGCAAACGAGCATCTACAGCTGCCCCGCGGCGCTGCCCCGGCCTCGCCGTCAGGGCGGTCAATCAATGTTTCAGACGATCGAAGCAGTCTCG